ACAAACAAACAAACAAACAAACAAACAAACAAACAAACAAACAAACAAAACTGAGTAGTCCTCTAGCACCTTGGGGTATGTCTACACTACAGTGCTAATTCGAACTAACGCGTCTAGAACTAAAAACTAGTTCGAATTAGAATTTTGCTAATTCGAACTAGCAAGTCCACATTGAGTGGACCCTGAACAGGGCTTAAGGATGGCCGGAAGCAGTGCCGGCAGGGCATAACAAACAAACAAACAAACAAAACTGAGTAGTCCTCTAGCACCTTGGGGTATGTCTACACTACAGTGCTAATTCGAACTAACGCGTCTAGAACTAAAAACTAGTTCGAATTAGAATTTTGCTAATTCGAACTAGCAAGTCCACATTGAGTGGACCCTGAACAGGGCTTAAGGATGGCCGGAAGCAGTGCCGGCAGGGCATCAGAGGAGGACTTAGGGTACGTCTACACTACAGCGCTAGTTCGAACTAACTTAGTTCGAATTAGTTAATTCGAACTAAGCTAGTTCGAACTAACGCATCTAGAACTAAAAACTAGTTCGAACTAGCGTTTTGCTAGTTCGAACTAGTAAGTCCACATTGAGTGGACTCTGAACAGGGCTTAAGGATGGCCGGAAGCAGTGCCGGCAGGGCATAAAAGGAGGACTTAGAGCATGGAGATACTGTCTCAGGCTAGCCGAGGGCTGCGCTTAAAGGGTCCCGACCCCCACCCCGGACACACAGTTCTAAGGGGTGCCCCGCTTGCAAAGAAGTTCTGGCTTGGAGTGCCCTGAGTGCCCACACTGGGCACATCACACCACTCGGCCATCAGCCCGGCTGCACTTGCCGCAGGCTGCCATCTGGGGAGAGGGAGTAATTGGGGGGCTGCAGGAGAGCTTCCACCCCCAGAAGCCCGCAGAGCCAGCCCAGTCCTCCCCATCGGGGGCTCGTACCCCATTCCTCCCTCACCTCCTTCCACTTACCCTTCCCTAGCCCCCCTTCTTATTGATGTACAAAATAAAGATAACGTTTCTTCCAACATTGACTCTGTCTTTATTGAAAAAAACTGGGGGAGACTGGGAAAAGGAGGTGGGAGAGGGGAAGAGAAAGGCTGGGAGAGGGGAGGGCAACTAACATGATCAGGGGTTGGGAACAGGTCCCAGATGAAGAGAGGCTACAGAGACTGGGACTGTTCAGCTTAGAAAAGAGGAGACGGAGGGGGGACAGGATAGAGGTCTCTAAAAGCAGGGGTTGGGTGGAGAGGGTGCATTCAGAAAAGTTCTTCCTGAGTTCCCATAAAGAAGGACTAGAGGACACCAAAGGAAAGGAATGGGTAGCAGGCTTGAAACTAGTAAGAGAAAGTTGTTCTTGACAAAGCAAATAGTTAACCTGTGGAACTCCTTGCTGCAGGAGGCTGTGAAGGCTACAACTAGAACAGAGTTTAAAGGGAAGTGAGATCAAGTCATGGAGGTTGGGTCCATGGAGTCCTATTAGCCAGAGGGTAGGAGTGGTGTCCCTGCCCAAAGTTTGTGGAAGGCTGGAGAGGGATGGCACGAGACAAATGGCTTGGTCATTGTCTTCGGTCCATCCCCTCCAGGGTCCCTAGGGTTGGCCGCTGTCGGCAGACAGGCTACTGGGCTAGATGGACCTTTGGCGAACTAAGCGCTCCGTTAGTTCAAATTAAGTTCGAACTAACGGGCCGCTAGTGTAGTGCCTATCAAAGTTAATTCAAACTAACGTCCGTTAGTTCGAACTAACATTGTAGTGTAGACATACCCTTGGAGACTAACCAATTTTTATATATATATATGGAATATCTTTGCTTGGTCTTTGAATCATCTATTCTCCACGCTGCGTCCTATACTAAAGGAAGCCTTTCTCTTTATAGGTGGCCAAAGCCCACTTTTTTTTAGTACAGGATGCAGTGTGGAGAATAGGTGATTCAAAGACCAAGCAAAGATATTCCACATGCTGAACTTCAATTTGGAAGTCCAGCTATTACAGCCAAGAACTCACAGACTATGAGTATCTGTCATTGTGCAGTTGTTCCTGATGAGGATGACAGTTGTACAGGGTAAGACTTAAAGATCTCCTTCTGCGAACAGGCAGAGGGCTCAGGGATGCATAAGAGTTACAGGTATCCTGGGCTTGTTATTTGCCTTCTGGTTCACCAAAGTGGTGCCATGTAAGGTTTCTACTGAAAGCCTGTGTCACACTGGCCACTATAATCGTTAAGAAATGTACGTGTGGATAACATGAAAACAGCAGTATACAAATGTGCACTTGTATGTAATTATTTTCTTAAGGCCTTGTAGTTAAAAGCAGGTCACCCAAAGGTAGCATGTCCTTGAAATGACTCCTCCAAAGAGGAGGTAGAGACACTTCTCTCGCTAGCTGACCATTGTGTATTGTGTGTCTCAAATAGAAGTCTATTAGCATGCTGGGACAAATTATAAGGAAGATATTGTGGGGATTTCAGGAGGAAATTTAACAGGAAGAGAAAAACTACAGCAAATTTGGGAAAAATTCTATTTTATAAATGAAGAAAAAAGGATTCATACAGGGCTCAAAAAGAGACCCAGATTCCTTCATCAAAGGAGACAAATTGCCAGTGGGCTTGATGTTAAGAAAGGAGGATCTCAGACAATGCTGTGGGCAGTACTTTAGGGTAGATGGTAATTTACTAGAAAAGAGGCATTTTGTTTGTGCACTTTATGCTTTAGTAAGGCCTTTCAAGAAAAACAGTCAATATGACACTATGTGATTTTAGCCCTAAATACAGGTTGTACCTCCGAAAACTGGCACTGTTTGGTGAGGCAGTGGACCACAGATGCTCTTGTACAAGAATGCCTGGGAGCCTAAGGGAAGGAGGGCTAGTCGGGGCCAGGGGCAACAGGATTGACAACCTGGCTGGGGGCAGTTTAGGGCTGGGGCCGTAGTTACCCACAGCCCCTGTTGGTGCAGGGCCGGAGTCCTGCAGGACCACGGGGATGGGGTCAGAGCCCACGGCAGTATGAGGCCAGAGTAATTTAAATCATTGTTCTGGGATGGGGCTGTGGATGAAGTTGCACCAGGGAGAGAGCTGTCCCAGTCCACTCTCATCACAGCAGCTTGGGACCAGTTAGGAAGCTCCTCCTCATCACCACTGGAGCCCCAGCAGGCACAGCTGGGGAAGAGGTGCATGTCCCCTGGTTAGGGCAGATCCAGGTTCATCTGCCCCCTGTGCTTCCCAGTCAGAGTGAGAAATGCAGCAAACTGTGCACTTTCCCCTCACTCCCTGATAAAGGGGAATAGCCAGTAATGTTCCCATATGAATAGGAAGGGGGAGTTTCTCCCTGCCCAGGGAACTTGGGAGGGGTGGGAGGTTCGGGGTTGGGGCAGTCACAGCCAGGTGGGGCACATCCCCAGCTAGGCACTTTCATCTATCTGGTGAGTCTGTCTCTTTTCTGTATGGTTTTATGTGCATTCGTATGAATGGGTGGAGTGGGGAGCTTCAGCTCCCCCCACCCTCCTTAAAGGGCACCGTAAGGGGGGAGGCTCGAGGACGGGGCATTCTCGGATGGGGGGAGGGAAAGCATACCTCCAGCCAGCCCTTTTCACCTTCCCGGTGATTTGGTCTCTTTTCTGTATGGTTTTATGAGAAGCAATCCCATTCCAGGCATATCCCATTGTCCTGGCACAACCAAATCCTTATCTTATTTTAAGTTATGATAAAAATAAGAGCTTGTACACTGAATTTGGTGCTCCTAGCTCTTACCATTTAGAACAGTGGTCTCCAACCTTTTTAACCACATGATCACTTTTTCTATTTAAGAGCAATGTAACATCTACCTCAAACCCAAATACGTTTGCTCTGCTTTCTTCCTCCAGGCTTAGCCATGGGCAGAGGATTGGGGTTCAGGAGGGGTTTCAGAGGGAAAACTCTGGGAAGGAGTTTGGGTGCAGGAGGACTCACATCTGGGGCAGGAAGTTGGGTGTAGGAGGAGGATCAGGGCTGGGACGGGGGTTCAGGAAGCAGGCTCTGACTGGGCACCATTTAACTGAGATGGCTTCCGGGTGGGGCAGCACTGTGGTTTAGGTTTACTCCTGGCCTGGCCCTGCAGCACTCCTGAAAGTAGCTGGCATGTATTGTAATGGCTCCATGGTGCCATGTGCTGCCCAATATCTACAGGCACTGAGCCCACAGCTTCTACACATTTCCCCATTACTGATCAATGGGAGCTGCAGGAGAGGTGTGTGCACACAAGGACAGCATATGGAGACCCCTTGCTCTGCCCTTCTCAGGAGCTGCAGGGACATGCGAGCCACGTCCAGGAGCAGCAATTACCACAGGGATAATTACTCCAGCCATGGCAGGTTAGGCATTTTAGAACTCACTACTCAGAGAATTAACCATAAGAGAGAATTAAAATGATGAAATGCACAGACCAGTCAAAAACCCCAACTAACACTTCTTTTACTGCTTGCAAAGTGCAACAACAACCCACATGAGTATTGTGTTGGGAGATGAGAGTGAAGGACAGGGTGTGTTTGTGAGAATGATAGAGACACAGTGTGTGAGAGTGACAGAGATTTGATTGCCAATCTCCCTCCATCCCCTTCTCTCTGTGTGGAGATAGGGTAGAGAAGTGGGGGGAGGAGGGTCACCCTGACATCAGCCTCTCCCTTCTCCCTCCCACACCTTGTGTGTGTGTGTGTGGGGGGGGGGGAGCAGCTCCAAGGCAGAAGGCAGGAGCAGCATGACAGTAGGTGGAGGGGCAACTGAAGTGCTGGTACTTGATAGCTCCTGGCCAAACCAGTCAGGATCACCTGTCAGAGGCTCCAAGATCTACTGGTAGATCCCGATTGACTGGTTGGTGACCACTAATTTAGAAGCAGCTCTTGAACAGACAAACTCTCAAATATGTAGCAGATTATTCTGTAACACTCTCCCCAATACACTTGAATAAGAACTTTGTTTTGTTTTTCTGCATTCATTTTAATGCCTCATATGTTTTTACACAGTGTTGTTAATTACCTTGTATTTTTCTAATACGACTGAGTCTGGGTAACCTGTCACCTCCCCTGTAGAGCGAAGCCCAGGAGGACCCTGAAGACCTAAGTCACCCTGTGGGAAAACAACACACACAGGATTAGCAGCAGGTAAAATAAGACTTCAAATTGTAGATCTGCATTGGGTGCCCACTTTGCTACTAAAATTTTGGTTCTAATTTAGGATATAGTCCTATCGGAGCAACATGGGATTACACTAGCTAGAGGTTTAGCTAGGACGTCTGTGTCTTCACTACAGCCTGTGTCATCAAAACTTACATAGCCAGGGTGTGACTATTCCATCTTCCACAAGTGACATAAATTACACCAACATAAGTGTTAGGTTATGTCTACACTGTCCCTGTTTTGCACAAAAACTATGCAAATGAGGAGAAGTGTGGAATATCGCCGCACCTTATTTGCATAATTAATTAGGCTCTGTTTTTGCACAAAATCCCCCTCTTGCACAAGAGCCGTTCTTCCTGAAAAAAAATGCAGAAGAACAGCTCTATAGCAAGAGGGGGTTTTTGCACAAAAGCCTCTTGCGCAAAAACGGAGCCTAATTAATTTTGCAAATGAGACACAGTGATATTCCACACTTTGCCTCATTTGTATATTTTTTGCACAAAACGGGCAGTGTAGACATAGCCCCTGCGTGCACACCTTCTTCCGCTGACACAGCTTATGCTGCTTACAGAGGTGGCTTTTTTATACAAACAACAGAACATATGGCATGTAGCATTTTCACCAGTGGTGCTACAATGGTGAGGTTGTATTGGTACGGCTGTGCTGGCGCAGCGGTGTGTGTGTAGAGACACACCATAGACAAGGTTATGGCAGAAAAAAATTAGCTTCAAACTAAGCTAAGAGGTGCCAATATTTTTCATTGTGCTCTGTACTTCTGGAATAACTTGTAAAGACTGTTCTCTCACACTGACCTAATCCATTGATTTCCATACACCTAGATGTGTACTGATTTGTACTGGTACAACAGTCAGACCTAGACATGTTTACAGCCATTTGGCTACAATATTTACTATTGTAGTCATCATCACTTTCAAAATGAATTAATTTTTACTACAGAATATAATCACAGAATAATATTGGATTTAAACAAGTTCTTTTATAAAGGTTAAGCATCACCAATTTATTTTATGATGCCCATACCAATTCATTTGTTTTCCTTTACCTTTTCACCTTTTGCTCCATCATAGTCAAGACCTTTGGAACCCTGCAAAGACAATACATCAGCAGAATATAATTATGTGGTACTTCTACAGAATAGCTTTAAATGAAAAGAACTCCAGAAGTACTTAACCAAAGGAGTGGTTAGAGACCCTTAGGACATCACTGCAGAATCCTGATCATGTAACAGTCTAGTTATAGCTCAATAAGACATTTTGGTTTAGTATTTAGAAAGAAGTTTGTAATTAAAATCTCATGTTGACAGTCCTGCTCCAGTATTTTCTCTAACAGGCATCAAGTCAGTCTTTTCTGTGAGAATCAATGTGAAAAGATTTCACATTTCATCTATGTATTTTCTAAGTTAAAATATAATCTGCAATATATGGACAGAATCTTGAGTCTGGCGGGACTGCTGTGCCGCACACCAGCAATTTAATTTGGCTCCAAGGCAGGATTAATCACTCCACGGAAGTTTTCCCCAGCGTAAGGTTGACTTAAAGCAGGGCTACTCAATTTTGGAAGCCCCAAGGGCTACAATGAAACTCACAGCATGTGCCGAGGGCCGCAACTTAAGTGTGGTTGCATACACATGCAAATATATATGCAAATATATGCAAATAGCTTCTTTCACACAGATGGGCCTGAATACAAAGCTTAAGGCAAGACTACACAACACGCAGGCCTCATTTAAGTCAGTTATGTTGATATTAATAAAATGCAATATTTACCCGATTTCCACCCATATGACAGCACTTTTAATGAGCATTGACAGTCCAGGAATTTAACTACTAAAACGCATATCAACAGAAGACCATTATATTGACTACTTTTTTTTGTTTTGGCTCTCACTTGTGGGCCATGTGTTGAGCCCCGTGTAAATCCAATCTGCACTGTGGGCTGCAAACAAACGGGCTGAGGGCTGCATGTGGCCTGCGGGCCACATGTTGAGTAGCCATGCCCTGCGTCCTCATTCCCCACAGTGCAAGGCAGCAAGTTGACAGACCTGGGCTAGTTGTTGCTTTAAAAATAACTGCGAAGACAATTAGGGTTGCCAGGTGTCTGGTTTTGAACTGGACAGTCCAGTATTTTAGCTTTCTGTTCAGGAAACAACTTGAGAAAATATACATAAGAAAATATAAATGTCCGGTATTTTCTAAATAAGATGTAATGTAGATTATGATGTGTGTCTGGTATTTTTGTTGAAACCATCTGACTACCCTATAGACAATGCTTTGAAGCTGTGGCTTAGGCTGGAAGTCAGGGTCTAAAGCCACCCTCTTCCCCGGGCTTCACAGCTCACCACATCTTACGTTCATTAGGGATGTCTGTAACAATCTGCAGGCCTGAAGAAGAGCGTGGTGTAGCTCGAAATCTCGACACCTTCACCAACAGAAGCTGGTTCAATAAAAGATATTATCTCACTTACCTTGTTTCTCAGTAATAATTAAAGGCCTGACTTAGTACACCAACTGGAGTCAGTGATATTTGTCCATTGATTTGGATCAGGCCCTAGGAGCCCAAAATGAAATGTAATATGTGAGGACAGTTCTTCAGAGAATGACTTACTGGAGGTCCTCGAGGTCCCTGTTGCCCTTTGGGTCCCTGTACAAATACAATTGCGAGAGTAAATTACCTCTAATTAGTTTTTTTCTGTTAATACTGTTTTGATAACATCAAATACTTTATATGTAAAGCATAAGGATTCATTAACATTCAGATAGCTCATACATAAGTATTGTTGACTATTTTTATTGGACTGGATGTTACTGAAACATGATAGCTTAGCTCATATGATCATCTTCCTGGCCCTAGCAAAATACAAGACTGCTAATTACTTGGAACTAGTGGAGTTACTTTTGTAGCTCAAACTTGTGGTTTTCACAAGACAATATAATTGTAATAATGCAGGCAATAAATGCTGAAAATTCTCAATTCTATTTTGCTGTGCTGATCCTTGAAGAATCATTGTCACATACTACCTTTCACTTCCAAAATGTAACCTCCGCTTTGGTTTTAGGAAAGCTTAGTTGTCATACTTAAACCTGTTTGCTACTGTACAGTTAGTAGCTCCTAATACACAAAAAATAGGTCCTGTGAAAATGATATTTCTGTCAGGTTAATTTCATAAAGTACCTAGTCTAAACATACTTACAGGTTTTCCTGGATTTCCTGTTGGACCAATTAAACCCACGACACCTGGAGCACCTTGAGGTCCCTAGAAATGAGAAAAATGATTTAAAGAAACCAAACAAACCAACAGCAGCTGTTGTTTTTGTAGCTGCTATTATTAAAATAGTGATAAATCACCACATCTGATGAAAAGCAACATACCGGAAAGCCAAACAATCCCGGATCACCAGGCTCTCCCTAAAGAAGACAAAAATTGTTATGTAAAGGGCTTTTAAAAAAGTCATTCCTTCAGTCATATCAACTATTTTAAATATCAGAGTGTCACTTAAAACAGCACACAAAATCTTTAAATGAAGATAAATTGACTATAAATATTGATTTAGACTCAGGGGGAACAGCTGTTGCCAGTTAACTGAATGTGCCAGATAACAAAGCAGCCCTTGCTGGCTCCACTCGGCAGGGGGGAGGGAAAAGCCTTCTCTCCTGGAGCGGGCCGGCAAGAGCTGCTTTGTTATCTGGCACATTTAGTTAAACGGCAACCGCCGTTGCCCCTGAGTGCCGGATAATGAAGCTTTCACTGTAGTGACCCCCTGAATTTACTGGACACCACCTCAGCTATATTGCTGGCAACTCCTCACATTTTAAAAACACTACATTGAAAATGTTTCCAAAATAAGAGACAGTTGGAGATTTCCAGCACACCCATAGTCAAAATGTAGCTTAGGGGTTCTTTGCTATTAAAATGGACCCTCTTTCCTGGGTGTCAGCTTGATTTCATAATACTCAGGAGAATAAAAAGTAACATCCCTCTCACAACATGCATGTAGAAAAATTAAACTTGGCTTAAAGATGGAACGTCCCTCCCAGCCCTCTACCAAATTCACAAGAGATTGATACATACCCTGAACTTTCTCATTATCTCAGGAGGCAATACAAAAGGTTCCCCCTTCTGACCTTTTGGTCCTTGGATTCCCTAGATTGATAAGACACAAAGAAAAAGTATTTTCACATAAAATCATAGTACTAGAAGGAACATTGAGACATCATCAAATCCAGTGCCCTGCACTTATGGCAGGACCAAGCACCATCTATACCAGGGGTCAGTACACTTTCTGAGGTGGAGTGCCAAGATTTGACTTATTTGCCTCTATGTATGGGTCCAAGTGCCAGTGATACTTTTAAAAGTCAATAATAGTCCTACTTACAGCAGCTTCATTAATAAATACATAAAGATGCAGCCTCTTACATTTTGGTGCAGGGATTGGCAACCTTTCAGAAGTAGTGTACCGAGATTTAACTTATTCACGGATCTGTGTGCCAGGGGAAGGAAGGGGAGGGGAGGTAAGGCCAGGCTGGGTACGGTGACCTTATTTTCTGAACCAGCTGCACTAGGGCAAGTGGTTTAATTTAAATTATGAAACAGATTAAGCGTTTTAACTTTCTCATGTTAGTTTCATTTTAAATAATGTAAAATATTATTACCAACACAAAAGGTTTCAATGTTTTCTTTATTTATGGCAGGGGTAGGGAACCCTTTTTGGGCCAAGGATCACTGACCCACAGAAAAATCAGTTGGGGACTACAGAAGTGAGAAGCAAAAAAACTCAATAAAAAATGCGCAACACTCACTGATGTGGCCCCAATTGAGACACCTCACTCCTCTGGTGCCTCAGCCTCACGGGGTGAGAGGAATGGAAAGTGTGGGGGGGAGGGAGAGGGAGAGAGGGAATGAGATTCCCGGAGACCAGATTTACTTTTCTGGGGTTCTGGAGTTAGTGGATTTTATGGACCTCCTTAAGCTCTGGGGTAGGGACAAAAATGAAGGGTACAGTGTGTGAGATAAAGCTGCCAGCAAGTAGGATAGGGATGGTGTTATAGGCTCCTTCTCCACTCTGGCACGATAAATGCAGAAGTGGGGGCCCACAAAAGTACCCCAAAACCTTATCTTTCCAGGCTTTGGTAAAAAACTTCCCCCCAAAATCTTAACAACTTAGATTTTGGGGATAAAAACTCTGCTGCCACCACCCAAGTAATGATAAGAAAATCTGGGGAGAGATCACTTGGGAAATCTCACCCCTAAAGTACAAACCAGGACACAACAATTAACCAATACCAGGTTAATAAAAAGAAAAGAGAAAGAACTTTTATCATCACCACAATATTCCTGTTGCAAGCATAATGACTAGATGGAAAAGTCACAAAGTAATATACTCATGGGAAATTCCACCATGGGCCCAAACTTAGTTTCAAAAGAGAGAAAATCCCATTTTTAAATGCACAGACATCTGTTTCCAAACCATAAAACAATAAAACCTAATGGATTTATCTAAACTTTACCCTACTTACATACAGGAAAGAGTCTTTTCTTGGAGGGAGACATTCTGTCTGTCTCCCTCAGTAGCTGGAAAGAAACTACCCAGAGACAAAGGAGGGAGAAACCTAAAATTCCTTGTCGCAGTTTGAAATTCCTACCTGCATTCATATTGGCCAACTCCACCTGGCTTAGGGGTAGTTAACCCCTTAGTCCCCAGGCTTTCTGGCCATCTCTCATGATCATGACAGATGGGGTGCAGTGGGGAAGAAGTTGCAAGTTCTGGGTGGGAGTAGGGTGTAGCGTCTGGCCAAGAGAGAGGGTACAGGAACAAGGGAGGGTGTCAGAGCAAAATGGAGGTGCCGGATCTTGGGGTGGGGGGGAGCAAGGGGATTGGGGGAGATTCTGAGCATGAGGGGGAGACCTTACCTGGTTTCGTGCTCCCATGCAGCAGTGGCTGAAGCCATGCTGTCCCGGCCGCCCTGGAGGCCCCACTGCCACTGTTGACACAGTCCGTGGCATCCCAGAAGCCCTGCTGCCACTGTGGTCTGGAACTGGACCTGGAGGTGCTGCTGCTGTGACCCACATGGTGCCGGGTCAGTCCCGTACTGCATGGCTGCAGCAGCGGCACCTTCAAGGGCTGGCCCCAAACTGCATAGCCACGGCAGTGGCGCCTCCAGACTCCGGGGCCGGTCCTGGATCGCATGGCCGCAGCAGCAGCGCCTCTGGTCCCAGCCGAGGTGCCGCTGAGGAGCCTCAGCCCCAGCACTGCCTTCTTGCACCGCAGTCAAACCTGCTACAGGGAGGAGGGAGCCTTCTCTAGTGGCTGTGTGGGGAGGAGGGTTGGGGCTGAGCTCCCTCCCGTGTGCCACTGAAAATTGGCTTGTGTGCCATGAGTGACACATGTGCTAGGTTGCCAACCCCCGATGGAGACTATCCCTGACAAGTGTCTGTCTAACCCACTCTTAAATATCTCCAATGATGGAGATTCCATAACTTTCATAGGCAATTTATTCAAGTGGTTAATCATCCTAACAGGAAATTTTTCCTAATACCTGACTTATATCTCCCTTGCTTCAATTTAAGCCCATTGCTTCATGTCCTATCATCAGGTTAAGGAGAATAATTTTTCTCCCTCCCCGTAAAAAACGTTTAGGTACTTGAAAACAGTTACCATGACCCCTCTCAGTGTTCTCTTCTCCAGACAAAACAAACGCAATGCTTCCAGTCTTCTCTCATAGGTCATGTTTTCCTACAACCCTTTTCGCAGTACTCATTCCTAGGCAGTCATTTCTCATTTTTATGTTTGCAACTGATTGTTCCTCTCTAGCTGGAATCTTTTGTATTTATCCTTATTGAATTCTTCACTTTGTCGAGATCATTTTGAATTAGCACTTGCAACACCCTTCCAGCTTGGTATGACCCACAAACTTTAAAAGTGTATCTATGGTTACTTATATATTTAAAATTATGAAAAATATCCAAAAGCAATTTCATATGTATCTGCACATTACATTGTGTGAATAGTGACTATGTCCAATAGTGGAAACTGATGCTACATGTACAAAGCATAAATAATCAGGACCATATGGATGAATTGTGCAGGAAGCAAGGAAAGAAATAAGCTATTAATTGAGAGCTAGGTTGTGAGGCCTCAGCATAGCCCTCTTATTGTCATTTTCCAGTCTACGAGCTGGAATGATGGCTCCAGTCTCTTGGTGCATGTGAGCTGGCCAAACCACTAGATCCAAATAAACTGTTTTGGGGAAAATATTTTCATCAAAATGTTGGTTTATTTTTATGAGTACTACTTTTTGGTGGATAGACTATACAGGCCACCTTGTGGTTCCCTCAAACCGCCTCACCATGGGACCTATATGATGGAGAGTTTTGTGTAGACCCTCCATACCTTAGTGAACTCCATAATTTTGCCTGACTAACTTCTGTGGCAGATCCATATGGGTTTTGTGATAGGTCAGCTCCATAAATGAAATGTTCTGTATAAATAGAGGGCCAAAAGAACTACTAAAATCCACAAGAAAAAAATAATAAAAATGTGAGATAAGCATGGAGTAGATATGGAGTCTCACTTAAAGATTTTTCCATTTTGGTCCTGAAAATATGATAGTTAAATTAATCCAAATGATGAATTTAGCTAATTTGTTCACTGGCTGTCAGCTACTTACAAAGAAACCAGGTAGACCACTGGGCCCCTGTCTTCCCTGTTCGCCGGCATCACCTCTGGTCCCATTGCAGCCATCGTGACCTGGTTTTCCCCTTGATCCTGGCTGCCCAGGATGACCCTGTGAAGAACAAAAAATGTGTTTATCTATCCATCTGTTCTTAGTTTTCATTTTCCAGTGTTCCTGTAGTTTTTAAACATTCTCATAATCAGCTCAAGGCTTAGATCCATGGGAAACTACAATTTTCAAAGAAAGCAACACAGACAGTGCTTTTTTATATAGCTGCAGCTTGAACCAGATGCCCTAGACAGCATGAAAAAATCAAAGGCAAAGGAAAGGATACAAAAGCTGTGCTCAATGCAGTTTCTGTTAAACAGAGAGCTAAACTAAGGGCGTTTTTTCAGAGTGTTAGGGGTTGAGATTATTGCAGAAAAAACTGAGCAAGATGGTTTCTTAGTAGCTTTGAACAACTTCCATTCTAGGAAAAAAAGGTCCCCTAGCAGTTGTTTTAGAGCAGGACTGAGTGCCATGATGCAGCTGTGGCATAGTCATGGAGAGAGAAAAATAAACATTCAAACCAAAGGATGGAGTGGCATTGTGGAAGTACCACTGTCAGCCTTTTGGAGTATTGGAAGGGAGAGAAAAGGCTGGTCCTGATTCAGCTTTTCTTTTAACTGGATTTGCACTACTGTAATTCCATTAACTTCACTGCAGTTAATTACTCCTCATTTTCACCAACGTCAAAGAGAATCAGGGCAATCATGTATTTTGTTCTCTACTCTATACAAAGATTGCAATTAGAAAGATAGGAGCCAAGTATATTCAGAACCCCATCTCTCTTCATTCTTTTCCACCAGCCAGAGCTGTGCTTTCCTCTCCTGTTTCCTCCAGGGTTGCCAAGTGTCCGGTATTCACCTGGACAGTCTGGTAATTGTGGGCTCCGTCCGGTTAAAAAACCCCCCAGAAAATACCAGACCTGTGAAACGTCCAGTATGTCTTGTTTCCCTCCTATGGAAGCCCGGTGGGAACAATTTTCTCCTGCTGTGTCTGGCGAAGGCAGGAGAGGGGAGAGTGAGGAGCATGGCACAGTCATAGGAAAGGGAGGCAGGTTGGGCACATGCTGGGCACCACGCTAGGGGGGCGCTGAGCTGGGGTGGGAGTGGAGCGCACGCTGCTCTGGCCCACGTGACCAGCAGAGACCAGGGAGCTGGCCACATGATGCCTCCCTCTACACCAGCCATGGCCAACCCACGGCTTGCAAGCCACATGCGGCTCTTGTCCCCACCAAAGTGTGGCTCATGAAGCCACTCCTGCGCCCCCCCAAATGGACCCCACTCCCTGCCTGCTGCCTGCTACTCCCTCCCCTCTCCCGGCTTCCCTATGCTTACTGGGTCGGAGCCGCGGGGTTTTAAAAATGGCACCCGACATGGCGGCTGTCTTAAAGGGGCAGCCTCCTTTTTTTAATAAAATTGTTTTCTGCTCGACAATTCTGTTCTGGGGGACTTTTTTTTTTCTTTGCTTAACAACTTTGGTCTCCCTCCCTTTTTTTTCCTCGACAGAATTTTTTCTCAGTGTTTTGTGTGTGTGTGTGTGTGTGTGTGTGTGTGTGTTCAGTATTTTTTGTTAAACCGTCTGGCAACCCTATCTCTCACCTGAGTGGAAAGAAAACTTCTTATTGCTTGCCTGTCCCCACTAATCACTGGCATTCCCCCACTCTTTATCAGCTTCGTGGTCCTCACCTCCCTCTTCTTGGCCATCAGCCTCACATGTCTGCATCTGTGAGCCATTCTTGGGTTCACGTCAGTTTCTATTTACTTACAGATTGCCATCAATGGTTCCTGGCCTGAAGCAACTGGCTGGGAAACAGCAGCATGGGGAGGCAGGATACACTGAGAGTGCAGGTTGGAAGAAAGAAGTGGAGGCTTACATAAGACTCACTGCAGGCAAATGTTCCAAGAAAGCCCCATTTTCTTTTAGCCAGAACACCACTCTCCTCTCACTTAGACATCAGTTGTATGCATGCAAACCCCACAGAAATCAGAGGGATTGGAGGATGAAAGGGAGGGTGAGTGTGAGAGAGAATCCTCTGAAACGAGACTTGGAATGCAACGGGAAGCAAAAAGGGTGAGAGAAGAGTGGATAGGAATGTGTGGGTGGTAGAGACAGTCCCTGATGTCAGAGAGCACTGCAAAGGAAGTTCTGGTAAATCTGTCTAGGGATTCCTGTGACTCAGACTTCTTTACTTAATATTTTATGCTACAAGCTGTAAAGCAGAGCAAGCTGAAGTTTGAACTCTTTCTCGTGAATGGACTACGGTTTTCATTTTAGAATTTACCAATGGGTTTGTTACATAGACTTTGTCAATGTATTCAAAGTTCTACAGTGTTGAAATATCCATGAAAGATTATGTCACTAAAAGCATATTGCAAATAAAATAAATAACTCTCTCTTACAGCAGAGCATGCTTTGCTCAGTAACCATCAGAGATATCTCCTTCTCTTTTGCCCTTTTTAGTGGATTTCTCTGTGAGAGGAAGCAACTGAATCCTAATGATCTGAGATGAAGATAGAGGAAGAAAAGTTTTCTTCTCAGTTATGTGTCTGCAACGGCATTCATTATAGCAAGTCTCACTGACTTGAGTTGGGTTGCCTGCATTTAACTGAGGACAAAATTTGACATACGTGTTTTAATTCAATAGGGTAGTTTTATTCTAGTCTAAATGTTTACAGTGAGTGATAAATAACCCTCAGTAATCCATGATATCTAATGTATGGAGTGAATGACTACTTACAGGAACGCCATCTGCACCTGCAAAACCAGTTACTCCTCTGAGCCCCTAAAATAAGACAAACACAATTAAAGTAAAGAATTACCCCACTATTGTCTTCTTTAGATGCTAGATAAAAATGTGAAGCTTTGAAATTACCACTTCTCCTTTTGGTCCAGTTACTCCAGGTTGCCCTCTTTCACCTTTGTGACCTTTGTGACCTTGTAAGCCTGGGATACCCATTAATCCTGGGGGTCCAGAGTATCCCTGAAGTCCAAGTAGTCCTGGTTGACCCTAAGGAAAGTAATAAAAGCATTTTTTCAGGAATGACTGTAATACACAGGGACCACCAATTTAGCTCTATTATAATGACATCTTAAACCAATGAAAGAAACAATTCAGCTCGCCTTACTCTGGGTTCTTTGGTGAACATCATATGAGAGCAACACACATACTACAAACTACATAACAGGCAACTGTACTGTGTATGACAAACCCAATGCATTAAAATAAAAAACATTCATCCTAGAATATTCACTGCTATACTACAAAAAGAACATTATCTGCGGACTAAACAGAGCTAGTTTCTGTTGAGTAAGGCCTATAACAGATCCAGTTACAATGCATTACAGAAAACTGAAATGTGTTTAATTATGAAATCTACTTAACCAAATCAAGCCAGATATTTAATAGCAGGAATTTCTGTTTGTTTGGCATGGTATTCTGCTTAATTATAATTCCTGAAGATGATTTAGTTCAGATTCATATATAGGAACAGGTACTTTATTAGGGAATAGCAATCACATACATTGAAGAATTGATCAGAGGCTTCTCCAGCCTCAAAAAACCCTCTTCCATTGTTGTTTCAGCAAAACAGCATTAATAATGCCTTTCAGGCAACTTCAGATTTTGCTTTAAATTCATTCTCTTCAGCATGGCAGAGTCATGAGATCATTAGAAGCAACAGTCAGCACTATACTCTTGTACTACATTTCAATTCAAATTGTAGGGGAAGATCACGTTCAGAGTTAGTCAACAGAGGGCTTGAGATGCCAGGTTGTTTTTTTTAAGTGAATCAGCAGGTCAGCATTTTGAAAACCATTCCAAATATAACGTGGCTCCTTAGCAAAGACATTTTTTGTATGTGCTGTGTAGCGCCGAGCATTTAACATATAAACATTAATTACTATCTTCTTTTAACTGGGAAATCTGCTTAATCAGGATGGCAGACCATTCAGCAAGACAGTGCTTAACTTGTAATGAAAGAGGTGTCAGGTTCAAACAAATGGGTGGCTGAAGTCTGGTCATTATTTTACATTCATAACTAATGCAGCTGCCCCGGAAGTGTCAGGTTTATGAGCTGCCAAGCCTAGAGGTGCTGGCACTCAGCCCTGGCAAGCCCTGCATAAATTAGGCACGGTAGCAAGGCATCCTATAAACTATAAAGCTAACATATACACAAATGTGTACTAATGTAATTATTAGTAAAATAGAAATTATTTGCATAGTCCCTACCTCACTTCTCTGAAATGAATCCCTTAAAATATATAAATATGTATAAATATCCAAGTCTTTGCATCCTTAATGCCACAGGGCTAGAGCATGGAAAAGAAGCAAAAGTGAGAGTGGATCACTTTCTTGGATCCAGAAAAGTAGTCAAGAGGCTTAACAATATGTTGTTGAGTTTTAGGCTTGGTTTATTTTTACTTTATTGTATATCATGAGCTCTGTCTTGTGACTTGTGTGACATACTTCACAAATTTTCTTTTTTTCATTTTCATGCCTCTGTTCATAACTACATTCTATTGTAGACCTGTAGAGAAATGTTCCATTGGGTCTAATAAAATAAACAAAACCAACCCTCCCAACCAAAATATGATATATGCTTGTGGTGTAAAAATGATCAATAATGAATGATTATTCTTTGTTTTCACTTTCTGCACAATTATTAACCAAGACCCACTTTGGGCCTTTTCTTTCTATTATGGCTTATGGAGGAGAGGGGGCCTGAAGAGAGGAGAGCACCATGCAGGTAGATTTTGTGGCTAAAACACTGGCCTTTTTATCCCTAACACATATAAGTCAGATCCTATAGTGGGAAAAAATGAGGAAAATACTCAGATGAACAAAGGAACCAACGAATACCTGAGCAAGAGGCAGCTCAATTCCTTATCCTGCTCAACTCTACGTATGCCATGTGTGTGACTGTCCACAGATAGCAGAATAACTATAACAGATACACACACAGAAGGGTGTGCTCTAGGATCAGGAATGTGGACCCATGCCTCCCCCTTTTATATGCCACGGTATAAACTCTAAGGGTGCATATAGACTACATGGCTCCATCAATGGAGCCATGTTGTCTAGACGCACCCTAAGTGCATAGATGTCAGATCAGATGGCCACATACCATGAGAAAGATTGTGCATCTCCTTGTACATATGTAAATGCACAACATCCTGTTCTGCTTCCAAGGTGCACAGACCAATGCAGCACCACATCTTATGGAAATATCTAACTATTATTGTAAATGTATAAACATGACTTTAAAAATGTAATGCTTTATTGAATCTTGATATTAAAATAACCACAATGAAATAACCCCAGATAAAAAAGACATAGGCAAAGCCTCAAATAATCGCTTAAGGTAGATACAAATCAAAATCTAGAAGAAGCAGAACACAATGCAAAGTTTGCAATCGACAATACAATTGTATAGGTACATTGCCTCAATTCGCTCAAGTTTCAGATGAAATTTTGAGCAATTTTAGTAAAACAGTTGTTTAGCTGAGTCACTAAGTGAGAAACAATGGATTCTATGTATGGAAAATGTTACTTTGTGTAGCCACTGAAATAAATGAAAGCCTAGCTAAGTCAGGTAATGTCCATAGCCTAGTCAGCCAAGGAAAGCCTTTTGAACATCTGATTCAACTTCCAACAAGCACTCAAAATGAACCAGATTACAAAACGTGAACAAAGCCTGTGCAGGGGTAAGTACAGTACCACCCCACAATTGTGGCAGCATCAGATAAGGTACAATTTCATCTTTCGGTTAGTAAAAGATTGTTCTTCCTTGCCAACTCTGTGTGCCAATCATGTTCCACAAGCATGGGGGATGGTAGAGGGGGAGGTTGGATGATGGTCCTGTCTTCTCCTCCAGCTCTCCCTGCTACCTTTCAGGTAATTTGTTTACTGGGGAGAGGAAGAGTCTTACATATATTTTCTTGCATCAAGACTGCTCCCAATCATAAATTATTATGGACAACAAAATACTATAATTTAACCTTGAGGGATCACTAACATACTATAATGAAATTACAGGTTAGCTCTGGAGAATACAACATTATTATAACAACATACTGGTGTCTAAATATTTACTTTGCCAATATATAGCTTGTATTGTACTATGTTCATCTTTTCTCAACTTTTCTTATATTAGATCTGCTAATCAAAAAAAGGCCCCTATTAACAATTGACCACTCAGTCAAATAAAGGTCTAGTTGACTATGTTTTGAATGACTGAGACATTATGAACAAATGTTTAAATGCTCCAACTCATATTCTTCATTTTTGTCATCTATTTTTTTTACAGTGGCAAAAAACCCAAAAGCAAAATCCATCACCCTAGGAAAACGGCACTCCTTGAAGATTAACTACAGGCTTTACTTCTCTGTCAGTGCTTACACAAAACTTCCATCACTGTTCAGATGATTTAAAAGTCATCAATAGCAGGATACATTCCTTAGTAGGCAACTCCTGCAGTGCTCTTCCCATGACTTAAAATAACTGTATGAGGTCTCACACAATTAAACTGTCCAACACAGGCATGTGCAGAAGCTATTTACAGAAAGGAGCAAAGGTCAGAAATTCTAGGAAGCCTGGAGGAATTCTTCCCAGAAAATGTTTGCAATTTCTGACGCATATTGGAGCCTGTTCAGTAAACGAGGTACACGAAAGAAAGGGCTATCAAGGATGTGATTTAATTTAGTGGTAATTTGGCATTCTGTAATTAAGCCCCAGAGAGTTATGAAAAGCTTGAACAGACATCCAAAGTTATACTGCATGTTCATATGCTTTAGACATTTTTAAAACTCCAGTTGTTTTAGGAACACTCAGGAAGAAGAGAGAACTCCTCCTGCTGTGAAGCTTTCTGTTCCCACTGAGAAATTTAAAAAGTTATTTTTTTTACTAAATGCACAAAAAGGAACAGTTATGATTATTATTAAACATTTTCATTGTGCTAATGACTAGAAGCCAACTAAATTGAGGCTCCCAGGTGGTAGGTACAGTACTAATATATAGTCAACGACAGTCTCTACTTCAAAAGAAATTATAACCACAAAGACAAGATATAATAAATGGAGGAAACACATAAGCAGGTCAGCATAGTGGAAGGAAGGGGGCACTTAACCAAGGCTGAGAAGTAATCACATAAAATTAAAAAAGTTGTCATAGCTTCACCATATCTGACACCATACTCCACCAGACTTCTAGTAAAAAGAAGTATAAAGGTAGTGCAGTAGGTGTAAAGCTAGCATAGTGAATCTGAGGAGTCATTCTCCCCCACAAGAGAATTACTGTGTAGTTGTAGGTCATCCTAGGATGGGAGAGAAGAGACCAAGTTCACTCCCTGAACTTTTAAAATGCTGACTTGTGAAAAAGAAATCTTGCTTCCTATAATACAGACTGTATGTAAAGGCCTCCCCTCATTTCCTTCATGCTTATCTAAGACCTTAGTCTTGCCAAGAAAGACAGTCAGGTAGGACTTGGAAATTTTGAGGGGGAAAATTTCTTTTTATAAGAGCTCTAAGAAGGATGGGTTGGAGCTCACTGATGTAACTAACAGCAGGGGTCGTTTGACAGTAGGTCCACCATGGGAGGGCAAACAACAACAAGGTGATAAGAAATCATTCACTAGGAACAGAGCTGTCCTTTCCATAGGATGGTTCGGTGCAACTTCCCTGGGCTGTGCACTCTGAGGGGAAGGGGCCAGGGCAACCTGGGGCACTAGCAGCAGGGATTGGGCCTGCCCCACACCCATCGGCAGTGGTGGGAAGTGGAGCAAGCAAGCTTCAGTCCATTCTACCCCCTTAGCTCCCATCCATGTCTCATGGAGTGGAACTGCCACTGCACTTACTGGCAGCAGCAGGAAATGGAGTGACATGGCTGGGAGTTGGAGGAGAAGAGAAAGCTGGGGCCAGGTCACTCCACTTCCTGCTGCAGCTGGGAGTGTGAGGGTGGGCCCAAGCAGGAGTGGGAAGAGGCAGGGCAGGGACAAGGCCCAGAGCGGAAGG